GAGTCACTTGATTATCTCAAAAAATGTCTTGCATTGAGAGAGGAGATACTTGGTCTCAAGCACCCCGATACCGCCACCTCCTACAGTAGTATCGGTAATGTACTGCTGGCCATGGGTGAGTATAAAGAGTCACTTGATTATCACAAAAAATGTGTTGCATTGAGAGAGGAGATACTTGGTCACAAACACCCCGATACCGCCAGCTCCTACAATGATATCGGTGCTGTACTGCAGGCCATGGGTAAGTATAAAGAGTCACTTGATTATCACAAAAAATGTGTTGCATTGAGAGAGGAGATACTTGGTCCTAAGCACCCCGATACCCCCGCCTCCTACAACAATATCGGTATTGTACTGCATGCCAAGGGTGAGTATAAAGAGTCACTTGATTATCACAAAAAATTTCTTGCATTGAGAGAGGAGATACTTGGTCTCAAACACCCTGATACCGCCACCTCCTACAACAATATCGGTTGTGCACTGCATGACATGGGTGAGTATAAAGAGTCACTTGATTATCACAAAAAATGTGTTGCATTGAGAGAGGAGATACTTGGTCCCAAACACCCCGATACCGCCACCTCCTACAACAATATCGGTAATGTACTGAAGGCCATGGGTAAGTATAAAGAGTCACTTCATTATCACAAAATATGTCTTGCATTGAGGAAGGAGATACTTGGTCCCAAACACCCCGATACCACCTGCTCCTACAACAATATCGGTAATGTACTGAAGGCCATGGGTGAGTTTAAAGAGTCACTTGATTATCACAAAAAATGTCTTGCATTGAGAAAGGAGATACTTGGTCCCAAACACCCCGATACCACCTGCTCCTACAACAATATCGGTAATGTACTGAAGGCCATGGGTAAGTATAAAGAGTCATTTGATTATCACAAAATATGTCTTGCATTGAGAGAGGAAGTACTTGGTCCCAAACACCCCGATACCGCCAACTCCTTCAACAATATCGGTTTTGTACTGAAGGCCATGGGTGAGTATAAAGAGTCACTTGATTATCACAAAAAATGTCTTGCATTGAGAGAGGAGGTACTTGGTCCCAAACACCCAGATACCATAAGCACGATCAATATTATAGAAGATTTAGCCAAAAAGTGTCATCAGAACAAAGTTAGAAGACAGTTCTGCTCAATAGTCTGATTTTCCCTTTTTCCGTAGCATTCCCTGAGATAACGTCCTGTATACTGATTGAACCATTCAACAAATACTTCATAGGGTCTCAAACGGTTATTAACTTTGTATGACTCCATTTCTAAAACCATTCTATTTCTATTTCTGTATGAGACAACGATATAAAGGCAATTCAAGCCTGGGTCCCGACCCAACGTACTTGCTGCTACGTCTGGTCTACGGCCAAAAAATTAGGAAAACGTGGGATTTCGTGCGTGAGGAGCACGTCCATCGTGCGACTTTCAGAGGGCGCAGACAGCACGCAGAACTTTTTCGACATGATCAACAGCCGCTGCGCGCTGTCTTCGAAATCTAAAAAAAATGGAACACGTTCGCCTCTCGTGCGCCTGTAGTACAGGTGACGTGAGGAAATTCTTTTCCACTGCGATTGGTGAGTGGGATGCAAGTGGTTAAGAAGCACGGTAAAAGTACTTATTTCTTGCTTCGTGCTCATCACTTCTCACTGCAATGCGCCCACCGTGTGGATCTCCCGGGCTCCGTACATGTTGAGGAAGTAGTGGGCACTCCATGCGCACGGATCGTGAGCTAAAAAGGAGGAGCATGCACGAAAAATCATCATTTATGCCTTGAATTTCTAGTTTTTATGCCTAAAAAGACAACAAAGAGCAGGGTGGGGAGAGGGGGACCGGGGACAAGCGAGGCATGATTGGGCTCACCATCTTTGAACACTGTTGCGGATATAATGATCTCGTCAAACATTCACTATTTTATACCCTCCCAAAAAACATCGCAACACACAAGTCTCTCGTGCAAAGGACGAACAACAACCGTACGAAGTCAGCAAGACTGCCCTACGTCTGTTAACATACGTCTACTTGCGTTCCCCTTGCGTTATCCGTACTCCTAGTACGGATAACGTACGTAGTGCACGAAACTTGTAGGCCCCTACTTAGCATGCACGGGGCGCGCGGGACACGTGCGAAAGCCCGTCAGGAGCAGCAGGTACTTCTGACGTGCGGAGGCTGTGCTTCTCACGTACTTTTCACCCACTTTCTTCTTGCGAACTCCTTGCAATCCCCAATTAGGCCTACTTGATTCCTGCCCTGCGATCTCGCTACGGCCCAGCCAGACGCGAGGGACCTAAAAAACGTACGTCCTGAAAATCGTGCTTTTAGTTGGGTCCCAGGCTTAACAACTACAAAATTTACGTCAACTAGTCAAACACATGTCACACTATTATCTAAGTAGAGTTCCTATCACAACCGATCACAACCGGAAGTACAAATTTTAGGATCGTACGTCCCCTACGCATTTTGGGTGCAGTGGAGGCCATCGGTGTCGTAGAGGTAGAGCAAAGGCTGCAAGGGTCTGCCTTGCGAGTCGCAGGGGGCCAGTGCGATATCCTTTCATGCAGGGATGCCATTGCTATGGAAATTGTACTTATTTCTTTAGTTTGTCTTGCAGCCTGGGTGCGTGGAACGCACTCATACTTTTGAAGAGAATGGGACGCATGGGTCACTTTTGCGCCACACTTTTCCTTTTCTTTTCTGTAATAATGTATCATTTTTAATCTTCTCTTTTGCTGGTAAAATATTCTATATTGCAAAATCTACACACTGTACATTCAACATGTCTGTACACTCTCTCTCTCTCTCTCTCTCTCTCACACACACACACACACACACACACACACACACACACACAGCTTTTATTTAATGCAAGGGGGTTTAAGCCGAGTTATTCATAGACTGTGTGAATTTCATTTATGTTTCTCAAACGTTAAGTTAATATGAGAATATTGGTCACAACCATTTTCCCAACGCATCCATGGGTGTTTATCACCGTTCTTCATAGGTTTTCGGCTGTTTTTGTTCTCTAGTAAGGGGCAAATATATCACGTAAGGGGCAAATATATCAATTATGATAGATAGTTAGCATGGTATAGGAGAAATGTCTGACAAAGTATCTTAATTCTGCAAGAACATGTATAGTACTTCATGTACATTGCATGTTACAGTATCGCATTGAAAACTGCTTTATTTGTAATCTATGTACAGATAGCATTTTGCAGGCGCAATTTAAAATATAACAGGTAAAAAGTGAAGTTTAATTTGATAGACGATTTAAAACCGTACTCCATTGTTGAAGTTTGGCTGTTTAGTTAATCCATATGTCTTGTAAGTCGAGATGACGTGGCGCTGTCTTAGTTTTATGTTGCGATATAAACGTGCATTGTTTACCAAAATCCAAGTGTATCCATTGCAAATATTTTATGTGTTAATTTTGAGGAAATTTTTGAAATATATTTGTTACATTTCATTTCATATGGAATAGCTGAGTGTAGAAACAAATGTATCGCATGAATTGTGATAAACCTTTCCTCTTATTCTAGATGAGATATCTGTATAAAATCATAACAAGTGTCCCTTACACATTCCTATATCATCCAAATGAATTTTTTTATATGTAGCCATATAGCAATATAGTGTGGAGCCAGTTAATAACGTATCGGTTGTATTCGTTTTATAAACTATTTTATACTAATGTAGATATCATTTCCAATGTTTCTTTTATTTATAATAATGGCCTACTGGGGTCTAAGAGACCATTCCCATAACCCCATCGTACAAGCAGACTTATTCTGTTTCCGAGGGGATTCTGGCTTAATTGTATTTTTATATATGAGGTAAAGCGTGCACAAAAGTTAATTACCTCCTTGCAGCTTCAGTAGGCGTGCCAGACATTTAAGCCGCTTAAACTGAGTGCAATTTAGCGAGAATCTCTTCTGAATTAGATCGAAATTGCTAGTACGATAGGGTTATGGGAACCCAGTCAAAGCCATGTAATAAATTGTACAATAGATGTCGTGATTATCAGAAGCCAGTATATCATGTCGTGTGTTTTTACCATATCGATGAGGTATCTGATGCGAAATAAGGTTATCCACTAGTACTATTGTATTTTACCTAAAGAACATGTATCGTTGCATGTTGCGGAGGCTGTTTATGTATTTTGAAGACTGTATTTTATCAATGCTATATAACGTTTCTGATGTTTGTAATTTACCTTTACGAATATGTGTTGTCGTCATGTTCAGTAAATGTGATTGTCTTATTTAATGCTGTAAGTTACTAGTTATTAGTTATATTTAGCATTTAAAATACATCTGTGACATTATATGTACAATGCCTTGTATTACTACTAAATTGTATATTTTGCCATTGTGTACAAGGTGTTATAAATTGTAAAATATGATAATAAAAAATGCATTGTATGAAAATGATTTTTTCATTGATTGACAACAGGTGTTTCGCTTATGCTGGTGCATAAGTTGTAAAATATACGGGGGACTCGAAAATAACATAATGGCCGTTTTAAAGAACAAACAAAAATTGAAACGAAATCATAGACAAATTGTAGCGTGATCTTTTGAATGGCAAAGGATAGACGAAGATACTTCATCAGTGAGCCCAAAAACACTTCATCAATGAAGCGGTCGACTTCTTTTTACCGCGTATTTTGCAGTAAAATCATTTGCCCCACCTTTCAAACAAGCTTTCCGTGCATTCTTTTCCGTTAAATGATTTAGAGAGATTAGAAAATAAAATACAGAGAAGGATAAAAAAAATCTTCATTGTAAACAATCTGAGGATAGTTTTAAACTCCTAAGTCCTATTTCACTTTAAACGTGCCATAAACAACAAAAAACAGAAAGAACATCTATTAGAAGAATAGATTGTTTGAAAAGTTAACTTTTGTCTACCTCACTCCGCGTCTGGTGTCATATTGTGTTGGTGGTGCTTGATGACACAATATGACACCCACGTGGTTGTTCCCTAGATGACGAGGGTGCAAATATTGGTCGCCAGGTATTCTAGAGAATCTAAATAGCGACGAAAGTGGATGCATTCTCCTGCGCACACCCGCAGGATTTTAAACTCTAAGGTTAAACAACCGATGCGATTTTTATACACATAGGCCTACCAGACAGATGCTCTGAATATTTGAACTTTCCTCTTGTCATTTCTGCTATATAATCGGTGACGGCATAAGATCACAAAAGGTTTTACATTATGGTTAGCTTACAGGAAACGTAAGCACCTTTTGACTGTTTGAAGGGACGTGTAAAACTGGCAGTCGGGTTGGGTTAATGAGGAGACATAAATAATGTATAGGTTTGAATGCGGTGAAAAAGCTCTACTGTATGTAGTAGGCCTAGTAAAAAGATCGATCTGATCTCACTTCCTTTTTTTAAACTCTTCTTTTTTAAATTTGTAAGCTGCATTAGATCTTAATTGAAAGTGTAGTTGAACAATTTAGCGTCTAGTTTGTAAATTCCCTTCAGTTCGTTGAGATCTGAAGAGGGCACGTTGGCGAAATAGGACCTCCAAACTCCTGCAGACGACACAGATGACATGTCACCATCAGGGTACTTGAACTTCTCAGCCACGCGCAACAGTTTAAGCAACATGCTGACATCATGTTGGATAGTTTCGTATCGCACAATGACGTCATATTTGACGTCACATGGATTACACAACTCGTTATAAGTTCTCCAGTGCGGGTTGAACGGTTTAGTAGAAAGCTGAGAATAGACATTAATGTATTTGACGAACGCAGCAAATGAAATTCCGTCCCCTTCTTGCGGCGCGCTCTTCATCCCCGGGGATCTCATGAAAGGTTTGATATAGGCCCCAATTTGACGTGAAAAAGCGCTGAGTTTCTCTAATTTGTTCCTGTAAGCAGACACTAGTCTTTCAAAGGGATGCCTCACAAGAACAACTTTCAGATAGTTTGCAAGACGGAACTTGATTCCAAATTCGGAAAAGTCAGACAGGGGCACCAAAAACTTCTGATATTTATAGTGCACTTCATACGCCCCAATGTCTTTGTATTCTGTAATATCTGCGTTTGCCGTGAGCCCATACATCAAACGTTTAAAGTTCGTACAGCCCACTTTTGGTATTTCACAGTATATCAGACTGTGTCTGTCGTCTACCCACAAAAATGGACGACCAGCCAGAATACTGCTTGCGTTTGTGGCAAGTGCTAACTTGGTGTTTTTTGGACATGCGTCCTGTAGAATTTTTCTCCTTGCTTTCATTATATTTTGCCAACTGAGAGGCACTTCCGCCCACGAAAAGTACTGAAAATGAAAAAAAAAAAAAAAAAAAAAAACTGAAAATGTCATTTTCGTAGTAGTACACGGGTTTGAAGGAAATTTGCATTTTATAAAATAATTATATGACTTAATCTTCATTAATAAAATATCATTTGAAGCATACCCGACCACTATTTAGGTTGTTGGCCTGCATTGCCTTCCTCATGGAGATCGTGTTTTCTGAAAACAAGAAAATAGATCTGGGCCCGTATCTCGAAAGCTTCGCTATGTTGCGCACGGATGCGAGCATGGCGATTCCGCGCTATTTGCGAGTGCGATTACACCCACCGGCTATCTCTAAGCCTTAGCAAACGCAACGCAATTATAACCTCAAACTCTACTAAAATTCGATTGCCGCATAAAGTAATGACGTCATAACATAATTACACAAAATGTAATTTTTTCACCATGACGCTAATCAAGAGGCTGTTTTTATTTATAGGAATATCATAATTACAAATACTGATATTTGAAGTGTTGGACACCAATAAAATTTCAAAAAACAATTCAATTAGCGAAGCTTGGACTGACACAATTATTGACGCATTTGTGAGTAGTGTTCAGTCTCATAGTAATAGAGTTATAGACATTGAGGAAGGTCACGGTGCGACCGAATGCTTTGTCTCTGCTTTTTCATTTTGTGTAGAAAATGACACTTTTAAATATATGCTTATTATCAGTAGACTACACAGATGAATTATATTCATCAGAAAATATAAAATGATGTATGAAATGTTTAATTTTCAAATGTTTATGCATCATAAAACATGACTTTAGCATTCTTCACGTAAATATTTACCGCAAGTTTTCCTATCAGAGGTACCGAGTGATTCAATCTATTATAAGCTTCCATGTTTTTGTTATAGCTTTTGTTATATGCTATTATGACTAGCAACCCAAACTTGCCGCCATGTTTAATTACATGAAAGACACATTAAAATGACGAATTATGCATACGCAGAGGCCTTTGCGACTAGTTTGTATCGCCGCAAATAATAGCCTCGAAACTAATGCTGATTTCGCTATTAGCGCACGGCCGCGATTTGCGAAGCTTTCGAGATATGGGATAGCGCGGAATCGCCATGCTTGCGCACGCTCGCCATAAGCGAAGCTTTCGAGATGCGGGACCCTGTTCTCATAAGGACAATGTTTCATTTTTTAAGGTAAGTTGTAAGTAAAGAAGGCCATTGAACGAAAACCACAGGACCTGTTTTAATGTTTTACGTTAATGTTATTGACGTTGACACCTGTGTTTAGCTTGTCATGTTAAAGAGAGAGAGAATCAGAGGTGTGTGTGTGCGTGAGGGGGAGAGAGAGATAGCACGTGTGTGTGTCAGAGAGAAACAGATAGAGAGAAGAGAAAGAGAGCACGTGTGTGTGTGTGTGTGAGCGAGAGAGAGAGAGAGAGAGAGAGAGAGAGATCTACCACTACCTCCATCTTTGCTCACAACTTCCAGGCCAGCACTCCACGTAAAGACAAATACCAACACCAATATACAGAATACCACGACCACAGTATGAAAGACGTTTACCCGCGTTAGGTGCATATTGCTGTCCATTAACACCTCACACGGATCACTTAGCAACTAAATAGTTCTTTCGTCAGACATTTGCTTGCTTGGCGCAGTCTAAAATGTAAAGAGAAGTGCAATATACGCATATACCTTGCATGCGACATCCTGAGAGATATCCTGACACCCAGATCTTGTCTGAAATGCAAATTAAATGATAAAATACATCCACGCGCTAACTACTCTACTTAATGGCGACATTTAAAATCTTAAAAGCCATCAAGCGGATATAACATCCATTTAATAGACAAAGAGCATTGATGATATCTAATAGAGAGAATTCGAGCAATGTTGGAAAACTTTTTTCAGTTGATAAACAACGAGAGGGCCCGGAACAGCCGTCTTTTTGAACAATGAAACTTGATTTAACTATGGGCACAGATTATTTGGCGTGGTAGGACGGAGTAGTTGGCTGCCTCCTTTCTGCATCCATGCACTGATATAATTCAGGCCTACCCAACAACCAGACTCGGCATCGGATGATCCTGAATTCACCGGTAGATCAGACCACACTACCCGTTTTCAAGGTGTGTGTCCGATCACATTACACAGTATCAGACGCGACACCGCTCTTGCCTAGTACGCGATGTGATAGTGGCGATTCTCAGCGGGGTTGAAAAGCATTGCATCACCACTCAAAATTTGTTCAGGGTCTGACACTGTGTAATGCGATATGACACACACCTTGAAAACGGGTAGTGTGGTCTAATCTACCGGTGAATTCAGGATCATTCGGTGCCGAGTCTGGTAGTTGGGTAGGCCTGTAATTACCTCCGCCAAGGAGGTTATGTTTTTACCCCTGTCTGTTTGTCCGTCTGTCATCAACATAACTCAAAAAGTTATGGACCGATTTTGATGAAATTTTCAGGAACTATCAGAAGTGGGCCAAGGAAGAGATGATTAGTTTTTGGTGGGGAACCGGATCAATAATCAATCAATAATAAAAAAATATCGGAAATTTGGGGGTGAAGCGGCATTAGATGGAGGCTTTGCTGCCTTGGCGCCGGTCTGAGCTCTCTGAGTGCTTTTCTGGTTAATATTGGAACCTTCAGGGCTCACGTTCGTGCCACTGAGTAAAGTTACCCTCTATCAGGGCCACATATATGTCTCTGGTTAAATTCACGGATATCCTCTGTACAGCGAAAATGTTCACAAAATAATAATTGCGGCACTGGTAGTGGATAGAGTGTAAAGTATGGGCACGTTTATTTCTGGTACAGATTACTGGGTATGGTAGAAGTGAGTAGTTGGCTATCTCTTACATGTATCCATGCATGCACTAATATAATTATTATAGGAACCTACGGGGCCCAGGCTCGCTCCGGCGGGGTAATTAATTCAGAAAATACATTGACTGTGTGGTGACGTCATATTGTGTCATGACGTCATGTGGGATACGTAGCACGGTGACGTCTTGTTATATGGGGTCAAAGACTTTGTTTCTACCAAGAAACGAAAATGGTTACAGCTGACTTAGGCCTTAAAATTAAATAGCGACATTTTCATTGTTCAAAACATCTCCTGAACGTCTCCATTTCCGTAGCCGTATCCTTATACGGCGCCAACTTCAAGGGAATAATACTGTACAGATATGTGTCAGGTAACGCTTGGTTGAGAACTTAGGATCTCCTTTAAATACGATCTTAGTGCCGTGTGACAGGAATGATAGTCGTAGTATTTTGTAGAGGAATTGAGTTGATTCTGTAATTTTGTCCACGAGTTGATTGACATGCTCTTATGATACTTACACGGAGCCCTACGTGTGCTGTAAATGGGGAGAAGGCACCTAGAGATTGAAATAAGTAGAGAGAGAAATGAATAGAAGCGCGGGAAACAACTGGAAATAGTTAATAAATAACATAGAAGAAAATACGATAGAAAATAAAGACAACTTCGTCACACTATGATATTACTTATTTCGTCTATTGAATAAATTATCATTGATTATTTGTACACTTCATCTCTCTGAAACCAACACCTCCTTCTACAGTTTTCTAACTCCCAGCTAAGATCTAATATCCGTTTATTAGATCTTAGCTCCCAGTACTAAAAGAGGGTACCACTGGGTATTTCCGTTATCTGTGAAGGTATATTTTTAATTCCCGAGATGCGTGAAACATTCACATTATTGAGTGTGATCCATGAAGCAACCCCACCATATTCTTTGCTCTCACGAAACGCAGTCACTGAGATATAAGTAAATAAATTGAAATATAAATCAGTGAGATATGAAGAAAATTTTATTTATTGTGGTCCCCCCTCCCATGGGACCCTCCTCAAACACGCTAGGGGAGCCCGGGGCAAGTTGGACCCCGGGGTAAGTTTGCCCCCCATCAATTTATGAAAAAAGTAACTATGGGTAAAAGAATTGATCACATCATTTTCTAAAGTGACCGTATCCAATAGTGCTAAGAAAGCGTCGGCAGTGAGTCCAAATGAAATAATTTAGCATCTTAAAGTATCTTTATCAAAAAGACTTGATGGTGGACCAACTTACCCCAGGGTCTAACTAGCCCAGGGCTCTACTACTATGTTCTAACCATCTGCCCGCGTGCCACATATATATTGGAATTATCTTAACAGACGTGCTTTTCAATTATATTTGTCATCTTTTTTAACACTTGCATTGACATGCAAAATACAATAATAGAAAACTTTCCCATTCATTAACAATTCTTCATTGTCTAATAAATTATCACAATTTAAAAACTTCCTTGGTTTTCAAAGGTGTTAGTTTTTACAACAAATCAAGGATCATAAATGCACATCACATGTTTAACTGAAGTTGCTGTAGCAATTCACCTTTTTAGATACAAGGATCAAATTTCTATTGATCTTGTTTACAGTAATCTTAATCTGAACTCATTATGGGATACAGTTGACAAGTAAACCTGACCACCAACAGGACTGTTAAAGTTTCCTGGCAACACAATTTTTTTTTCAAATTTAAATCCTCCGTGCTCAGAGGCCGAAATTCCATGCAATTATTTTCTACACCCAATACGGCAACAATCAATAAGCTAAATGTGTACTGCCACATTTGACACAAGATGTCTCTGAGGTGCATTTCTTCACACATGAAGTCAAGATAAGCCAGCTTTCAGTATGTGAACAGTTATCCCAGAAACGATAATGATCCAGTGGCGATGCATGGCAATAATAATAATAATAATAATAATAATAATAATAATAATAATAATAATATTTGTAATATTAGAGGCAATCATCACCGCGTGGATAACATGGTAGATGTAAAGATTTGTTGTAACACCTGAGGCAGGTCTTTTGTGTCCATACAAACGAAGGCATGTCCTGAGGGTAGCTGCTTCGTCCACCTGGAAAATTGCAAAATAAATACATTTATTAATTAAT